TCAGCCTCCCTACTAGCTGGATCTGCAGGTGTGTACCACCACACCCAGCTAATTAAAATTTGGGTGTTTTTGTACAGACAGGGTCTCACTATGTTGACTAGGCTGGTCTCAAACTCCTGGGCTGAAGGGATCCTCCCGCCTTGGCGTCACAAAGTACTGGGATTATAGGTGTGGGGGTAAGCCACCGCTTACGTGCTTTCAAACACCTCTCTCAGCATTTTGCTGCTGCCTGCTTAGTGCCAGCCCCTCCCCCCAGGCCATGTCGGATCGATGGCCAGGTGGCCGCCAAGTCTAGAGGACACTGATTGTGCAAGGTCTGCTTTTCAGACTGTCAGGCTAGCAGCCTGCCTGGGCTGGGGGCCTGGGCCTCTTGACCTCCCAAAGGACAGGATGGGGTACAGAGGCTGGGCTCGGGGTTTCTTCACCCCCTATACACACACACTATCCCTGCTCTGTCCCAAGCACCTGTCCCTCGGGAAGTTTGCAAGGTGGGGGCCAGGGCCTGGGAAGAGGGGAGGTTGTGGGGAGGAGGGAGAATTGCTGGGGCCGGGACGAGGGACAGTGGGCAGGACTATGGTGTTCGGTCTCAGGGTCAGGGTTAGGCCCATAGGCAGGGCCCAGGGCTCTGGGGAGGATTACGGAGCAGGAGAAGGTGAGGGAAGGTGCCCCCTAACCCAGAATCCTAACCAGCCCCACAGTGCTCCCTCCTGCCCTGGCTCAGTCCTGGCCCTGCCTGTACTGAGCTCATGCCCAGCCCCCATGGGCACGGGCACGGGCCTTCACACCTCAGGACACATGGGTGCCCCCCACGCACATGTCAGGGAGGTCCCTGCCTACTGCCACAGGCCCCCTTAGGGAGCACATGCCAGAGAGCATGGGACATCTATGTGCTCGAGACATGCGTGAGGGGCCACACAGGTAGGCACCACACACACGCAACCTGTCTTTGCCTGGACTTCAGTGCACAAGCAGACCTGGGCCCGACACACCAGTGTGTCACCATGAGAAGAGGAGAACCCCTCTCTGGGCGCCCCCCACAGTTCTGGGCCTTTGCACATGTTGTTTCTCGTTCATCAAGAAGGGGCGATTTTTTTTCATTCAACAGATGGAAGAACCACAGCTTAGAAGTCAGGGAATCTGCCTAGCTTCCTGCAACTTAAAGGGGCCAGGTAGGGCTGAAAACCTGTGGTCATGGCAAAACCTGGGCGCAGGGCCGTGTGCCACCCCAGCCAATCCATAAGCATCTCACACTTCACACCCACTGCACACGCCACACACATGCCTCACACTCCACACACATGCCTCACACTCCACACATGCCTCACGCTCCACACACACCTCACGCTCCACACACAACTCACACTCCACACACATGCCTCACAATCCACACATGCCTCATGCTCCACACACACCTCACACTGCACACATACCTCACACTACACACACGCTTCACACTCCACACTTGCTGCACACTCCATACACATGCCTCACACTCCACACACATGCCTCACATTCCACACACGCCTCACACTCCACACACGCCTCACACTCCACACACAACTCACACTACACACACACACCTCACATTCCACACATGCCTCACACTCCACACACGCCTCACACTCCACACACAAATCACACTCCACACACATGCCTTACATTCCACACACATGCTTCACACTCCACACACACACCTCAAACTCCACACATGCCTCACACTCCACACACACCTCACACTCCAAACACATGGCTCACACTCCACACCTCACACTCCACACACATGCCTCACACTCCACACACACCTTATACTCCACACACACCTCACACTACACACACACCTCACACTCCACACTCACGCCTCACACTAAATACACCACCTCATGTTAAACACATGCCTCATACTCCACACACATGCCTCACACTAAACGCACACCTCACACTCCACACACACACCTCACACTAAATGCATGCCTCAGACTCCACACAAACCTCACATTCCACACACACTTCACACTCCACACACATGCCTCACACTAAATATACTGCCTCACACTCCACACACACCTCACACTAAACACATGCCTCATGCTCTGCACACACCTCACACTCCACATGTGTCACACTCCACACACACCTCACACTAAACACACACCTCACACTCCACACACACGCCTCACACTCCACACATATGCCTCACACTCCACACACATGCCTCACACTCCACACACGCCTCATGCTAAACACATACCTCACACTCCACACACAATTCACACTAAACACATGCCTCAGACTCCACATACACGCCTCACACTAAACACACACCTCACATTCCACACACATGCCGCAGACTACATATACATGCCTCACACTACACACATGCCTCACATTACACACATGCTTCACACCCCCACTTACACCTCAATTCCACACACATCTCACACCTCACACTCCACACACACATCTCACACCACACACCTCACACTCCACATACACACCTCACACTTCACACATGCTTCACACTCCACACACCTCTCGCTCCACGCACACACCTCACATTCCACATCCCACACATGCTTCATACTCCATGCATACTTCACATTACACACACACTTCATACTCCACACACCTCACCCTCCACACTTGCCTTACATTCCTTACACACTTCACACTATGCACATACTTCACACTCCACACACACTTTAATTCCACACACACCTCACACTCCACATACACCTCAAACTCCACACACACCTCACACTCCACACACACCTCACACTCCACACATTCCTTACACTCCACACACTTGACACTCCACACATATGCCTCACACTACACACAGACCTCACATTCCACATTCCACACATGCTTCACTTCACACACACCTCACATTCCACATTCCACACATGCTTCACACTCCATACACACTTCATACACCATAAACCTCACACTCCACAGCATGCCTCACACTCCACACACACACACTCCTCACACTCCACACACACACCCAACATTCCATGTTCCACACATGCTTCATACTCCATACATGTTTCAAGCTACATACATGCTTCACACTCCATACACACTTCACACCCACACACACTTCACACTCCACACATGCTTCACACTACACACACCTCACACTTCATACACACCCCACACTATACACACACCTCACACTATGCACACATCTCATACTAAACACATATCCCTCATACTCCACACATGCCTTACACTACACACACACCTCATACAACACATACACACCTCACACTATGCACATACCTCACACTAAACACATGCCTCATACTCCACACACACACTGTGAGCATGCACACACACACATACACACACCTGCACACACCTCTTATGCTCCACACACACCTCGCACCATACATACCTCATAGACACACACACCTTACACTGCACATTCCCAGCACCCACACTGCACACACATACACAGTCCACACACCCCCCACCCCACACCATACACACCTCACAGACACACCCCTCACACAAATCTTATACTCCACTCACAATCCCTACTCTCCACACACACGCGCACACACACACACTCATATACACATTCTACACATACAAATTCCAGACTCTCTCTCTCACACACACACTCTGGGACCCATATACCCACAGCACACAGCATCTCAGGTGTGCACCCCACATTCTGGCCTCAGGATGTACACTAACTGAAAGTCAGCCTTGTCTGAGACAGACACCCGCCAGCCTGCACGCACCCTAGAAAGCCAGCCAGCACTTTGGCACACATATGGCTCAAAGCCACCTACACAGCAATGCTGTTCCATAGAACAACAATGCAGGTCACACTTGTGTGTTAACCTCTCTAATAGCCACATGCAACAAGGGGTGTGGTGGCCCACGCCTGTAATCCCAGCTACTCGGGAGGCAGAAGCAGGAGGATCATGTGAGCCCAGAAGCTCCAGACCAGCCTGGCAACCCAATGAGACCCTGTCTCTGAAAAAAAAAAACAGTGAAGAGAGGCAGATGAAAATTGATTTTAATAATACATTTTATTTATCCCATGATCGCCAAAGTGTTATTTCAATATGCAATCAGTATAAAAATTGTTACCGTGTTGGTTGACATCCTGTTTGCACTTGGCCTTGGAAACCTCTTGTGCGTCTTCCCTATGCAGCTTTTCTCAGTTCAGACTGGCTCAGGAGCTGCGGGTGACCAGCGGCTACCGTCATGGACAGCACAGGGCTACGGAACCAGGTAGGAATTCATGCTGTGTGTGGTGGTAATCATGCCTGTAATCCTAGCATTTTGGAAGGCCGAGGTGGGTGGGATCACCTGAGGTCATGAGTTCGAGACCAGGCTGGCCAACATGGTGAAACCCCGTCTCTACTAAAAATATAAAATTTAGCCAGGCATGGTGGTGGGCACCTGTAATCCCAGTTACTCAGGAGACTGAGGCAAGAGAATTGCTTGAACCTGGGGAAGTGGAGGTTGCAGTGAGCTGAAATCGTACCACTGCACTCTAGCCTAGTTAACAGAGTGAGACTCTATCCCCACCCCCCCCCGCAAAAAAAAAAAAAAAAAAAAGAACAAGGTAGGAATTCAAATAAACAGAAAATAGCATCAAACCCCACCCCTGCCTCTCCTTTCTCCTCTCCAGTCCCCAGAGTACATGGGCCCAGCCTCCTTTACTCTCTCTCAGGCCTGTAGCTCCTTTAGTCTCTCCCGTCCAGGTAAGCACCTGGCCTCACCTGTGTGAGCCCCTGCACTCACCTGCACTGGGCTCTACATAGTCTCCAGTCCTTGATCGCCCCTACCTCATGCTCTTGGGGACCAGGGGCTGTAACCAGGCAGGCATGTCACCAGGCAACAGGCCTCGGGGGAGAGCTCAGATCTCCCGCACCTGCCTGCCAGCCTCTGGGGTGCCCATGGGCGGGGGGATGGGGCGGGCCGGCCCTGCCTTCTCCTGCCTCCTGCCTGTTTACCTGTCCTCAGTCACAGTGCCGTCCTGGGCCCAGCAGGAGGAGCCCCATGGAGCCTGGGGCCACAGGCCACAGGGGACAAGGGCCAGACACCCTGGTCATGGCTCTAGGCCATTGATCCAGGCCGGGCTGGCCCGGTGGGGGTAGGGAGGCCTTGGCCTGGACAAACAAAGGCTCCTGAGGCCTGCGTGCAGGCCCAGCACCTATCCGCCACTCCCAAAGGTAAGCGGGGGCCTCCAGAACAGGGGACCAGGATCTACAAATGACTTAGTGACAGTGTCCACCCTAAGAGCTGGGCCTGGCTCCCTGGGGCTTGAGTCACCTACCCTGCTCCAAGGCCAGGCCTGCAGGGCCTCATCGGCCAGAGGGTGATCAGTGAGCAGAAGGTGAGGGGCCCACAGAGCTGGGGAGGGGAGGGACCATGCAGGGTGACACCAGGTGTGTGGACAGGCACAGCATCAGTGCTGGGTGGTTGATGGCCTGGGATTCAGGCGGCAGGGACAGGAGGAAGGCAGAGGCCACCCTACGCCTGCCTCGCAGGACTGGACGTGCTGCCCCCTCCATACCCGGTACCCCAACTGGGCCTTCTGGTGTAGGAGACAGGCCCAGAGCCCCACATTGCACCTATGTACTGACTTAAGCACGGGACCCTGGGCTCGAAGGCTCAGAGTTGGTGTGTATGTGTCTGTGTGTTTGTGTGTGTGTTCGTGTGTATGTTCGTGTGTGTGTGGGAAGGGCGTGCATCTGTGAATTTTTGTGTCATGAATATCCCTCGCGTGTCTCCATCTGTGTACATCTGTGGGTCTGTGAATGTGTTTATATGTGTAGAAGGGAGCCCCGCCCAGTCTCCCACACTCTCAGGTCTCTAGGGCCTAATGACTTCACTGAAAGATGCACCTACAACCCTAGCCCAGAGTCTCCGCTCTGCTCTGCTCTGCCCTGGCTAAGGGACCTCGGGTAAGTCATGTTACTGCTCTCTACCTCAGTTTCCCCAGCCATTAAACAGAGTCAGCAAAGCACGCACCCCAGGCTGTTGGAGGCTGCAGTGGAGTTCGCAGCGCCGCCCAGCGCAGGGCTGGCACATGGTAGGAGTTCACACGCAGTGGTTGAATACAGATCTGCATTGCTGGGGAGTGGCGGCCCCGCCCCAAGGAGCTCAGCCTCCAGCGGGCAGACTCCAGACCCGCCAATGGCCAGAAGGGCAGGAGGGAGTGAAGAGCAGGTGCCAGGGTGGGGTCCAGGTGCTCAGAGATGCAGGACTGCTTCAGGCCCCTGTGGCAGTTGGAGCACAGTCCCCGCTTCCAGGAGGTCAATGTGAGGGGCAGAGAGAGTGCCCATAGGTGAACCGCACATCGCGAGGCGCAGCTGCTCCTTCTAGGGCACTCCGGGAGAGCTGCAAAGAGGTGAGGTCTGAGCGGAGGTGACACGGGCCGCATAAGAGCTGGCCAGGCTGGGAGGTGGGGGCCCAGGCGGAAGGAAGAGTGTGGGGATGCCTGGCTGTGAACAAGCACTGACAGGGCTCAAGGTCCAGGAGGGCTCTTGGTGCTGGCTGGCTGCTCTTAATCCGTAAATGTTTGCTACCATCCCATTGTTAAAATTTCTTACCAAGGGAAAGAAGTCCAGTGTCCCCGGGGTGCGACGGGGAGAAGAGAGGGTGAGAAAAAAGGAGGCAGGAGAAGGTGGCCAGGCCACATATGCACACAGCACCTTGGAGTTCCGTGGGGAGGAAGGAGCTGGGACCTTGTCATTCATTTGTTCAACAATTACTGAGTGTCCGCTGAGTACCAGACTCGGCTCTCGCGCAGCTTACAGACAGGGAGGAGACAGATAAACGACATATTTGCATATCAGGCAATTTAGGCCTCAGTCATTGCTATAAAGAAAAATGCAGGAGAGACAGGGGAGTGCCCAGGGAAGGCCTCTCTGGAAAGGTGACATGTGACACCTTGGAGCAGGTAAAGGAGGGAGCTATGAGGCAAGCAGAAAGGAAAGCATCCCAGGCTTAGCAAGGAGCAAACTCCCATTCAGCGAAGAGGACAGAAAACCTAGCCCCTGGGCCTTGTGGGACTGAGTTCTAGTTGGATGGAAGCCGTGGGAGGCTTGTGGACAGGGCACATAGTGACAACACACAGTGTTTTTTTTGTATTTTTAGTAGAGACGGGATTTCACCTTGTTAGCCAGGATGGTCTCGATCTCCTGACCTGTGTCCGCCCGCCGCGGCCCCAAAGTGCTGGGATTACAGGCTTGAGCCACCGCCGCCGGCCCTGGGTGGGAAGTTATGATGAGCCTGGGGGGAGTTAATTTCCTACTACCACCATTTGGACCATGGCTTGGGTTTTTACAGAGGGTTTCTGAAAACGAACCCCTCTGTGCGGCTCAAAGTCCTCCCAGATGATGCTGAGGGTATTGAGAGGGAGGCAAAATCTGCATAGAGAAGGAGGCCTGACTCGGAGGATGAAAGGGGAGGGGAGGCCCACGAGCACTTCACCTGAGCTGCCCCTCTTCGGGGCTCCTCTAATGGACCCATGACCTTCTCTGAGCCTCAGTTTCCCTCTCTTTTACACTGATTATCTGAGAGGTAGTAGGCACCAGGGGATACTGTGAAACATTGAGGAAGTGGGCAGGGCTCTCCCACCCATTGCCCATTCCGGCATTTAATCATTTACCATTCCCTGGCCTTGGCCCCATAAAGACAGTAGGGCCCATCCCACATGTGGGAATATCCTAGCTTAGGGTGTGGAGGGGGTGCCATGCGCAATGAGGGTCCCTGCAGTCCCTCCTTCCTTGTATCTGATGGGGACCGCTCACCAGAGTCACTGTGGCTGGACGCCAAGACCCTAGCTGGGAAGGATGCCAAGGGGAGCTGGAGGGAGCCAGGAGCTGGGAGAAGGCCAGGACCTTCATATCCACCTAGGAGTGATTTTGAGCATCACTAAAGAGCCACATTTTGGAAACCCACTTTGTAAAAACCCCAAGACACAGCCCAAAGGAAGCCCCCGCTGCATCTGGGGTGCATTTTATTAATTTTATTTTTTAATGGTTTTTTTTTTTTTTTTTTGTGAGCAGAGTCTTGCTCTGTCACCCAGGCTGGAGTACAATGGCATGATCTTGGCTCACTGCAACCCTCCCTTGCCCGTTCAAGTGATTCTCCTGCCTCAGCCTCCTGAGTAGCAGGGATTACAGGCGCCACACCAATGCCCGGCTAATTTTTGTATTTTTCATAGTGACAGGGTTTCACCTATTGGGCCAGGCTGATCTCGAACTCCTGACCTCGGTGATCCACCCACCTCAGCCTCCCCAAAGTGTTGGGTATTACAGGCGTGAGCCACCGTGCCTGGCCTCTGGGGTGCATTTTAAAGCTACTCAGTATTTGTGGATACAGTAAGAGGGAGATGAACTTCAAAAAA